AACAAAAGTGATACAGTAGAACCAAAAAGAATAAACTCATATTTAACATTGAAAAAACTAAATGTAAGTGTGAGTTCATCAGTTTTGGGATAGTTAAGACCAAAAAAAAAAATTTGTTGTGTGTCTTTTATGCTGTGATGAAAGTTTTCTGCAGAACACAGATATTCTGAAGAACAATGGGGTCCAAACAATATTGACATACACTGTACTTAAATGCAAAGTGGATTAATAGATTTGGTCTATTATACATTGACTTTTTGGATGAATTGCTAATTTGTGAACCAATGTCATCTTTGTTTACTGAACAGCACTTAACAGTAACTTAAATGATCGTATTTTAGTAGGATGCGGCTGGTGTGGAGCAGTAATGTCAGTAATATATCAGTCCCTCCAGGATTTTTTCTGATTTTTGCGGCCTAAAATTACTGATTTTGCTGTGGCTTTTCTCAAAATTTGCAGTGATATTTGCGGCATTTCTTATCGTTTTGCAGTGAAAATATACCACAGACAACATTCTTCTAACATTGTTATGACTTTTCTGACTTTGAGAACCATTGTAGGGCTCCAGACTAACATTTGAGGACACCAGCACCAGTGCCATTAAGTTCTACAGAAGGTGGCACCAGCACCTGACAGTAAAGCACTCACCCTAATCGCACATGTACATCTCGGAGATGTCTATTTGATGTCTACATTTACATATGCAAGATGTATTTTTAAGAGTGCTTGCTCATCTGCAATACGTCTCTAAGACGTTTCCTATCAGATGTTAAATAGACATTAATTCAAATGCATGTAAAACTGCTTCTGAGACGTTTATCAGATTACACAGCAGATGTTTCCCAGATCTTTAGCAGACGTCTTACAGATGTACTTGTGCTGTCTGGGTAGTTGAGATGCAGATAAAATTAACTTTTATTACTGTCATTCATAATGTCTAAATATAATATAATAAATACAAAAATATATATATTAGGGAGTGGAAATGACTAATAAGCCTATAAGTACTTCTCTGCAGCCATCTACTAGTGATAATCGAATGTCTTTTTTATTTTTAAATAAGTCTTTGCTTTCCTACATTATGAAACTTTTAGTTTTATAAATGGGGCAACCTATGAAGGATGAACAAATAATGTCATCACATTAAAAATAACTTTCAAATTCGGCAATACTTTCAGCAAAAGCTTTGAAGTGCTGGGAAAAGTTGTGTAAAGCATTTAAAAACACTCGAAAACATTAGACCATTTCTGCCACAAGTTGTTCCTATAGTTTACTGGTAAATCCATGGTGAATGGTGGTGATGTGATTATTGAACAATGTTTTTCCTGGTTTCCACATCAGTGGCGTTTGTTTTGATATCTGTATATGAAGGTAGAATGACGTCAATAAGAAGTTGTGGAAGTGTACATAAGACTGTAAGCGTAAATTAAATTGGCATGCGCAACAGAAGCTTTATAAAGGTGTAAATTGCGTTTCAAGCGCAAGAAAAAATGATTTGCAGCATTTTACTGTTACTCGTAAGTGTAATTCAAGTATTGTGAAACTGCAGCTTCATGCTAACGCAAAATAAATATGATCTGCATTCTTCTGCCCTCCATTTTTCTTCCATCTTTTGGCACGTTTTTTTCGCCAAAAGACGGTCAAAAGTTCTGCAAGCCTGTGAACAGTGATTTGCAAGCGAAAACAACAGTTTAAAGAACTGCAAAACGGATTGACTGCATAGAACCAATCTGTATGTGTAAAAAAAACTAACTGTTGCAAATGTCTAAAATGACTTATTGTGTATGTGGGGCAAAAAGTTCAAAATACAGCTCCGTCTTTCTTTTCTCTGCGCTTACAATTTTGGCACCATTCTCTCACTAACAAAATTTTGCAAGCGTGAGGGGGAGGGCGGGTCCACCTTCTTCTTGTAGCCAATCAAATGAGCCTCTCGCTGACTCTCCATTTACTCTTATCTGATTGGTTCAATGAACACATAATACGCCAAGACATTAATCTTCATTTAATTCAGGATCGTTCTTGCTGCCGGAATAGTACTTTTAACGTATGCATACATTAAAAAAAGAAATTAAAAAACTTAATTAAAACATTATATTTTATAAGTTGTGTACCATTAGGCTATGTGTTGTTTCTATACTCTGACTGGAGTTAACCTGTGGAAAATTCAGTTGATTGGACATGATTTGGAAAGGCACACACACCTGTCTATATAACGTTTAACAGCTGAAATGGATGTCAGAGCAAAAGCTAAGCCATGAGGTCAAAGGAATGGCATGCAGAGCTGAGAGACAGGATTGTGTTGAAACAGATCTGGGGAAGACTACAAAAAAAATTGGCTGTGTTGACGGTTCACAGTAGCATTTGGCCTCCATAATCCTTAATGGATGAAGTTTGAAACAATCAGGACTCTTCCTAGATCTAGCCTCCTGGCCAAACTGAGCAATCGAAGGAGAAGGGTTTGGTTAGAGAGGTGACCAACACACTGATGGTCACTCTGGTTGAGCTCCATGATCTTATATGGAGATGGGAGAAACTTACAAAAGGACAAACATCACTGTGACACTCCACCAGACTGGGCTTGATGGCAAAGTAACCAAACTCAAGCTTCTCCTCAGTAAAGATATATAAAACCCTGATTGGAATTTACAAAAATACACCTAAATAACTCTCAAACTATGAAAAAAAAAGATTCTCCGGTCTGATGAACCTTATTCATGTCTGAGGGAAACCAAGCACCGCTTGTGACCTGCATAATACCATCCCAACGGTGAAGAATGGTGGCGGCAGCATCATGCAGTGGGGTGTTTTTCAGTGGCAGGGACTGGGGAAGTGATCAGAGAAGACGGAAAGCTGAATGTAGCTAAATACAGAGATTTCCTTAATGAAAACCTGGTTCAGAGCACTCAGAACCTCAGACCAGGCTGAATGTTCACCTTCCAACATGACAATCACCCTACACACACAGCCAAGACAATGCAGCAGTGGCTTAAGCACGACTCTATGAATGTCCTTGAGTGGCCTGGCCAGAGCTGGGACTTGGAGCCAATCAGACATCTTTGGAGAAACCTATAAATGGCTGTCCACCGATGGTCCCCAGCCAACCTGACAGAACTTGAGATGATCTAAAGATAAAAAAAAAACAAATGCAGATGTGCAAAGCTTGTTGCATCATACCCAAAAAGACCTGAGGCTGTAATTGTTGCCAAAGTGCTTCAACTAAGTTTTGAGTTAAGGGTATGAAGACTTGTGCAATGTCATTTTTTCAGTGTTTCCTTTTTAATAAATTTGCAAAGTTGTGATAAATCCGGTGTTTGCTTTGTCATTATGGTAAGTGGGGTGTAGATGTATTTGGGGGAAAAAGTGATTTAAAGCAGTTTAACCTAATAACGCAACATAAAATGTGAAAAAAATAAAGGGGTATGAAGACTTTCGATAGGCACTGTAAATTCACTTACATTAACCTGAAACAAGAAATGCAACAAATGGAATTTTTATAAACAAAAGCTCTACAAAAGCTTAAGGAAATGTATATCTATATTTTTCATCACATATATTTTTTTTAACTAATTGATTTATATCTAGTTATCTTCTATATCTCAAAATGATTAAGGAGAAACATCAGACACATCATGGGGTACGTGATTAAGGCTAAGTTTAATCTGAGTTAATGCATTTAAACAAGCGTCACTATACATTTTCAAGATGTCATGATTATAGCAAAGAGGAGTAAAGCTGCAGAAAATATCGGCGTAAATCAATTACCACTCGTATGTGAAAATATGCCTGAAAGTGTGAAGTGTGTTCACTTCCAACATATTTGCATAGCCTATGTTCGCTTTATGCAAAGACAAGAATAAGGAGGTTGTAGTTCACAGATAAAGTTTTGCATATAAACCCTTGGAAAATAAACTCGTTAGGCAACTTTCCACTCCATGTCCATCCAGCACTGTGTCATTTATATCTAAATTATTTATTGTGTTTAGCATTTGTGGTGGCTGGTATTCACAACTATAGTAGTAGCATGCATCGTACACACACACACACTCACATTTTCTTCTTCTTTGTTATTTTACAAATTTGGGGACACAAAATTATTATATAGGCTAGTCTGTTCTTTTTGATATTCTACTCTTCATTTTATTAAAATAGTGATATTACCTTGATTTTTTTTTTTTTACACACCACACTGTTTCATGTTTCATCTTAACGTTACATGCACACCAAAAAAACCTAGCAGGAATGCTGTTTTCTAACTTTAGTTTCTTCAAACACATGAGCAAAAACGCTTGTTGGCTTTAATCGCATAGTAAAATCGGTGTTCGCCTTTATAAGATGTCAACGCTCCTTTCCTCAGAAACCTTGGAATAAAACGCAGGACTTCGAAAAACAAATCACAGCAAAAGCAAATGATGATTGTGTATAAGCAAGCATTTTCTGGGCTTCCATTAAACGCATTAAATGAAAAAAAGGAGAGGCAATAGTCTGGCCATGTGGAAGCCTACTACTAATTGATTATTTTTCAGACTAAAACTGCCAACCCACAATCAACGGATCTGCATCAGCAATGACGCCGCCTTTTTCTAGTAGGTTTCGTCTATAGGTGAAGAGACCTCTGAATATTATTCTCAGAAATGTCTCGGTTTATGCTTTCAGACTGTTTTGGCTTTTAACGAATATGGTGTTTCATGCATTTTTCTGCTTATGTCTGTGGCTTTTGGGAGGTAAGTTATGTTTTTATTGCTTCAGTTCTTCCCCTAGGCTATACAATCAAACTATTCCAGTATGTTCTAACAGTTTGAATGGAAACAGGAATGCTTCTTAAAATAATAGTGTAAACTAAAACGTCATCTTCGTTGAATTTTCGCCTATAGGGATTGAAAACTTAGACCCAGGAAGGTTAAAATTATAAATCGAACGTGCAGTTTACAGCATTTGAACCCTTTCAGGTCTGTAAAGAGCACTAACATTACCGCTGACATACCTGTACATGTCTGACAGAGTTAATTGATGTCCAGATGTTTGGTCTGGTTGCTGATGGGATTGTTGAGCACACAGCTGTAGGTGTTTTTATCCTGATATTCCACCTCCAGAGGTAGAGAGAGACTGATGCTGAGATCAGACACACTGATGCTGGACAATAAACTGTTTCCTTTGTACCAGGAGAGAGTCACATCACTCACATTCACCACTGAACACAGCAGTGAACAATTCTGACCTGATGATCCTGATGATGAAGAACATTGTGAAGAATTTGTAGTGATGACAGGAACAGGCAGATGTGCTGGAAAATAATTACGGAAAGAAACATTATTATCCAGATTTTCCAAAATATAATTAACAAAATAGTAAGACAACTTCTAACTATGTGTGCATAAAAAATAGAAAAATGTATGGTTCCTACTAGAAGGAAGATAAAACAGTTGCACAAACAGACACAAACTGTGTAATATTAAAATGAGATTATTAGACACTCAAGACTTCACAGTGTTAAAAATGGCTGCTTTATTTGATGCAAGTGGAATATGAAAATAATTATATTTGTTGATGAATAACAATTTTAATCAATGATTAATTGGTTGCTTATAGACAAAAATAACACAAAGCAGAGTCAGGATAGGAATGAAGTAAGTCTAACAATATTCTTAACATGTATTATGCCTCAAGCTATAGTTAGTCCTTGCATAAATGCATCTACAAGATAATTAATCATTATTATTTTTAATATATTTATAATTCTTTCTTTTTAATCTGCACAAAACAAGAAAATTACTAGGGTGACAGACAAACATCTTATATTAATTAGTTGAAACATAATGCCATAATAAGCAATCAAATATGATAGAAATGATAATAATAATAATTTATGCATTTAGCAGAAGCTTTTATCCAAAGCGACATACAGTGCATTCAGGCTATACATTTTTTACCAGTATGATGATGATGATGCATACTAAATACATAACCATACATCAAATAATAAAAGTAATAAAATAATTGTTTAATTTTTATTTTCTCATTCATTACATATCATCAGCAAATATCATTAAACATCTTTAAATCATAATGACTTTACTCACCGTAGACACTGACACTGAATCTCTTGCATGAATTCCCTCTGATGATGTTGCTGATGATCAGTAGTTTATAAAGTCCAGTGTGTTCAGTTCTGATGTTTCTGATGGTCAGAGATCCAGTTTGATTGTCCATCTGCAGTCTGTCTCCAAAGGACTCGTTACTGTCATATATAAACATGTTCTGGTTATAAATTTCAGCTATGCGAGTCTCCTGTGCTCCAAACATTTTTTTTTTACACACCACACTGTTTCATGTTTCATCTTAACGTTACATGCACACCAAAAAAACCTAGCAGGAATGCTGTTTTCTAACTTTAGTTTCTTCAAACACATGAGCAAAAACGCTTGTTGGCTTTAATCGCATAGTAAAATCGGTGTTCGCCTTTATAAGATGTCAACGCTCCTTTCCTCAGAAACCTTGGAATAAAACGCAGGACTTCGAAAAACAAATCACAGCAAACGCAAATGATGATTGTGTATAAGCAAGCATTTTCTGGGCTTCCATTAAACGCATTAAATGAAAAAAAGGAGAGGCAATAGTCTGGCCATGTGGAAGCCTACTACTAATTGATTATTTTTCAGACTAAAACTGCCAACCCACAATCAACGGATCTGCATCAGCAATGACGCCGCCTTTTTCTAGTAGGTTTCGTCTATAGGTGAAGAGACCTCTGAATATTATTCTCAGAAATGTCTCGGTTTATGCTTTCAGACTGTTTTGGCTTTTAACGAATATGGTGTTTCATGCATTTTTCTGCTTATGTCTGTGGCTTTTGGGAGGTAAGTTATGTTTTTATTGCTTCAGTTCTTCCCCTAGGCTATACAATCAAACTATTCCAGTATGTTCTAACAGTTTGAATGGAAACAGGAATGCTTCTTAAAATAATAGTGTAAACTAAAACGTCATCTTCGTTGAATTTTCGCCTATAGGGATTGAAAACTTAGACCCAGGAAGGTTAAAATTATAAATCGAACGTGCAGTTTACAGCATTTGAACCCTTTCAGGTCTGTAAAGAGCACTAACATTACCGCTGACATACCTGTACATGTCTGACAGAGTTAACTGATGTCCAGATGTCTGGTCTGGTTGCTGATGGGATTGTTGAGCACACAGCTGTAGGTGTTTTTATCCTGATATTCCACCTCCAGAGGTAGAGAGAGACTGATGCTGAGATCAGACACACTGATGCTGGACAATAAACTGTTTCCTTTGTACCAGGAGAGAGTCACATCACTCACATTCACCACTGAACACAGCAGTGAACAATTCTGACCTGATGATCCTGATGATGAAGAACATTGTGAAGAATTTGTAGTGATGACAGGAACAGGCAGATGTGCTGGAAAATAATTACGGAAAGAAACATTATTATCCAGATTTTCCAAAATATAATTAACAAAATAGTAAGACAACTTCTAACTATGTGTGCATAAAAAATAGAAAAATGTATGGTTCCTACTAGAAGGAAGATAAAACAGTTGCACAAACAGACACAAACTGTGTAATATTAAAATGAGATTATTAGACACTCAAGACTTCACAGTGTTAAAAATGGCTGCTTTATTTGATGCAAGTGGAATATGAAAATAATTATATTTGTTGATGAATAACAATTTTAATCAATGATTAATTGGTTGCTTATAGACAAAAATAACACAAAGCAGAGTCAGGATAGGAATGAAGTAAGTCTAACAATATTCTTAACATGTATTATGCCTCAAGCTATAGTTAGTCCTTGCATAAATGCATCTACAAGATAATTAATCATTATTATTTTTAATATATTTATAATTCTTTCTTTTTAATCTGCACAAAACAAGAAAATTACTAGGGTGACAGACAAACATCTTAAGTTGAAACGTTGAAACATAATGCCATAATAAGCAATCAAATATGATAGAAATGATAATAATAATAATTTATGCATTTATTTTATCCAATTATCCAAAGCGACATACAGTGCATTCAGGCTATACATTTTTTACCAGTATGATGATGATGATGCATACTAAATACATAACCATACATCAAATAATAAAAGTAATAAAATAATTGTTTAATTTTTATTTTCTCCTTCATTACATATCATCAGCAAATATCATTAAACATCTTTAAATCATAATGACTTTACTCACCGTAGACACTGACACTGAATCTCTTGTATGAATTCCCTCTGATGATGTTGCTGATGATCAGTAGTTTATAAAGTCCAGTGTGTTCAGTTCTGATGTTTCTGATGGTCAGAGATCCAGTTTGATTGTCCATCTGCAGTCTGTCTCCAAAGGACTCGTTACTGTCATATATAAACATGTTCTGGTTATAAATTTCAGCTATGCGAGTCTCCTGTGCTCCAAACATCCACAATAACATATCTTTACTCTGTACTTTAATATCAGATTCTAGCGTGATAGAATCTCTCTCAGTCACCGATACTGACTTCATTTCATCGCCAAACACACCTGAAATACATATAAAAACACAGTATATTATTATCAGACTGATACATAATATCATTAACAGATCTATCAAATATTTATTTTACATATACACACACTGCTCTAAATCTTGATTCTGTTAATGGATTTTAATATAATTTCCTGGAGCTTGACAGAAAGGTAAAATTGTAATATTTAGTGACTATTTAGTGATTAAAAAATATACCGAATAGTTACTTACCGCACAGGATAAACAAGAGGAGAGCGCACAGATGAGAGAACATCATGCTGGTTCTGGAAACTCTCATTTCAGATATATATCACAGGTTTGAGTCTAAAAGGTTCTCAGAATAATTATTTGTGGTTGTGAGAAGAAACTGGCCCCCGGCCTCACATTCTCAAGAACACACAAACACACACCGTCTATCATTGTGTGCATTATCTGAACATCCTCTCAGCATTTCAAACCACATGCATTCAGCTCACACACATTTACTGACCGCAATAACACGAAGTCTGACTCGAAAACATGAGCATGTACTGCTTTACACTCACAATATGTTCAGTCTGTTTGCTAACTGAGAATCACTGCAACAATGGAAATGGCTAGAGGAGCTGAAAAACATGAGGAAAGGACCACTAAAACTGATAAAGATTGTTAGTGTTTGTATGTGGCAGACATTTATTAGTTTTGTTGTCCACTGGGTGGCACTGTGTTAGTTTGAAACTAATATAACTCGAGCGAATGGGTAGCCCTTTTCTGATCTTTTTATGAACAAATGTAATAAACCAACAATTAATCTTTTTAATGTATAGTTGTAACCATTTGTATTACCAATTTCTTTAGTGTAATTTTACTGATATTCATAATTATGACAAAAAAGTGCTGCATCATTTCAGCAATCATTGCATTGCAACAATTTGCAAGTTTATAAAGTCCAGTGTGATCAGATCTGATGTTTCTGATGGTCAGAGATCCAGTTTGATTGTCCATCAGTACTTTGCCCCCCCCCCGATTGGTACACAAGAACAGAACTAAAACCAAAATTCACAGCCAATGCTCTTAAAACTATCAACAGATCATGAGCGTCATTTGAGATCTTGAGTCATATTTGAACAAGATCCAATGCATTTTACTTTTTAGGGCAGGTTTCAGTATTCAGGGCGCAAAAGAGAACAAGCAAGAATCAGCGCAATAAGAAAAAGACCAGTTTTTCATACATATAAAAAGTGTAGATAGCAAGCATATCTTACAGTATTCTGAGCTCTGTTTGTAGTAAATGTTGGATCAGTATAATCCACCTCTTCCACAGTAGTCTGAGATGTTTAGTAAAAATAAATTTACAAAAAATAAAATAATATAATTGTAGGGCGATAGAATATACAGTTTGTTCAGTATAAAAACCATTACGCCTATGGAATGTCCCCATTTAGATAGCTAAGTAAACGTGTGTGTGTGTGTGTGTATGTGTGTGTGTGTGTGCACGTGCACATGGATGGGTTAAATGCAGAGCAAAAATTCTGAGTATGGGTCACTTTCAAAATCACTTAAAAAAAAAAAAACGGTGTAAAAAACAGATAACATTCTGGCAGAAAATTACAAGTAGGCCTACATTTTCTGGTCAATTTACAAGCATTTCAATGCACAATTAAAAACATGGGTAAAATACGGAAAATTCCTTCATATTAACAGAAAAAAAATAAAAGTCATCTACGTTGTGCAACCAAACTATTTTATGGACTCTATAAGGTAACATTGGCAGGTTATCACTTTTTACAGTATAGAACACATTTGATCTAGCTGAACATTTATGAGCCCTTGAAAATCACCTGAAAAAAGTGGCATATCCTATTATCATTGAGATGATGCTTTATCCTACCATCATCTTAACACAACTTCTGAATACACCATCTGATCCCGTACATTAGCCTCCTGTAAGAAAAGAGACGCACATCAGTAAGTTAAGAACAGAGCTGATTCTACACATGCTTAAAGCACAGATTCATATCAGCCATAAGAATCAAGTCATGAGAACTTAATGATCATGTAAATACATGCATCTTTAAGAATGAATGAATGAATAAATAAATAAATAAATAAGCACTTTAACTATTAAATACAGATTTTAAAAAAAATTGTGAATGATGTCTGAGTGCTAACTTATGTATACATAAAAATGTTCACAAGCAGACACACAAAAAACAATACTTAGCTTAGCAGGGTTTCTGTAAGCAATGCGATTTAGTGCAGAGAATAACAAACGTATCTTACAGCATCCGGAGCTCTGTGTGGAATTAATGTTGCTTCTGTATAATCAACCTCTTCTTCATTAGCCTGAGCTGTATGATAACAATTTATCAAATTAATTAAATAAATAAACAATTACAAAATGATACATTTGTATAATTTTTTCTTCTTCTTTTTTTTGGTTATTAGTAATACTTGCCATCTTGTTTTGCTTGTGTGTAATTTCTACTGTGACAGAAAATCAACACGACTACAACTGTGACCAGCAGCAGCAACAGCAGAAATACTACAATGAGAAATAAAGATTGGCTGGATTCTGTAACGGATAAAACATAAAGAGTCATTAAGCTACTGCTGCACATTATAGCACCAAATTGATAACTGAAATTGAAGAGGCACTGGGAATGATCAGATTCAGACAGATTCAGTGTGAATATAATACTGACATACCTGAAGGTGTCTGACAGAGTTGACTGATGTCCAGATGTCTGGTCTGGTTGCTGATGGGATTGTTGAGCACACAGCTGTAGGTGTTTTTATCC